TGGGAACCCGCAGTTCCTTACAATGATAGCCCTTAGCTTCGAACACATAGAGTTCTAACCTCTGGGAACCGTCAATTCGTTGCAATGGTAACCTCTGGTTCCCAGGTTGGGAGCCGTAAGTTTCAACGTCTGGGGACCGGCAGTTCCTTGCCATGGTAACCTTTGGTTCCCACGTTGGGAACCATCAGTTCCAACCTCTAGTAACCGGCAGTTGCTTGGAATGGTAACCCATGGTTCCCAGGTTGGGAACCAGGAGTTCCAACCTCTGGGAACCGGCAGTTGCTTGCAATGGTAACCCATGGTTCCCAGGTTGGGAACCAGGAGTTCCAACCTCTGGGAACCGGCAGTTCCTTGCAATGGTAACCCATGGTTCCCAGGTTGGGAACCAGGAGTTCCAACCTCTGGGAACCGGCAGTTCCTTGCAATGGTAACCTGTGGTTCCCACGTTGGCAACAGTGAGTTCCAACCTTTGGGAACCGGCAGTTCCTTGCCATGAACCAAACGCAAACATTCCGGTACCGGGCCATTAAGCAAAACAAAGCGTTCTGTACCGGTCCATTAAGCAAAAACATAAAGTTGTAAAGAAAATGTTTTCATATCATTTTAACATACACCTTTTCGTGCAAAAACATTTTTTTGCCGGCCCAGCAGCCAAACGCAAACATTCCGCTACCGGTCCATTAAGCAAAACAAAAGGTTCTGTTACCGGCTCAGCAAATAAAACAAAACAACATTAAGAACCATGAGTTTTAACTTTTTGGAATCAACAGATCCTTCCACTGGTAACGTATGCTTTTTCAGGTTTGGAACCATGAGTTTCAAGCTTTGGGAACCCGCAGTTCCTTACAATGATAGCCCTTAGCTTCGAACACATAAGTTCTAACCTCTGAGAACCGGCAATTCCTTGCAATGGTAGCCTCTGCTCTTAGGTTGGGAACCGTAAGTTTCAACGTCTGGGTTCCTTGCCATGGTAACCTTTGGTTCCCACGTTGGGAACCATCAGTTCTAACCTTTAGGAACTAGAAGTTCTTTGCAATGGTACCGGTCCATTAATCAAAACAAAGCTTTCTTTACCGGTCGATTAAGCGAAACCATAAAAAAAGAAACTGTTTTCATATCATTTTGACATGCACCTTTTCGTGCAAAAACATTTTTATGCCGGCCCAGCAGCCAAACGCAAACATTCCGCTACCGGTCCATTAAGCAAAGCAAAGCTTTCTTTACCGGTCGATTAAGCGAAACCATAAAAAAAGAAACTGTTTTCATATCATTTTGACATGCACCTTTTCGTGCAAAAACATTTTTATGCCGGCCCAGCAGCCAAACGCAAACATTCCGCTACCGGTCCATTAAGCAAACAAAAGGTTCTGTTACCGGCTCAGTAAATAAAACAAAACAACATCAAGAACCATGAGTTTTAACTTTTTGGAATCAACAGATCCTTCCACTGGTAACGTATGCTTTTTCAGGTTTGGAACCATGAGTTTCAAGCTTTCGGAACCCGCAGTTCCTTACAATGATAGCCGCTTAGCTTCGAACACATAGAGTTCTAACCTCTGGGAACCGGCAATTCGTTGCAATGGTAACCTCTGGTTCCCAAGTTGGGAACCGCAAGTTTCAACGTCTGGGAACCGGCAGTTCCTTGCCATGGTAACCTTTGGTTCCCACGTTGGGAACCATGAGTTCCAACCTTTAGGAACCGGAAGTTCTTTGCAATGGTTACCTGTGGTTCCCAGGTTGGGAAGCATGAGTTCCAACCTCTGGTAACCGGCAGTTGCTTGCAAAGGTAGCCTCTGGTTCCCAGGTTGGGAACCATGACTTCTAACCTGTGGGAACCGGCAGTTCCTTGCAATGGTAACCTGTGGTTCCCACGTTGGCAACCGTGAGTTCCAACCTTTTGAAACCGGCACTTCCTTGCCATGAACCAAACGCAAACATTCCGGTACCTGTCCATTAAGCAAAACAAAGCGTTCTGCACCGGTCCATTAAGCAAAACCATAAAGTTGTAAAGAAAATGTTTTCATATCATTTTGACATGCACTTTTTTCGTGCAAAAACATTTTTATGCCGGCCCATCAGCCAAACGCAAACATTCAGCTACCGGTCCATTAAGCAAAACAAAAAGTTCTGTTACCGGCTCAGTAAACAAAACAAAACAACATTAAGCACCATGAGTTCTAACTTTTTGGAATCAACAGATCCTTCCACTTTCAGGTTTGGAACCATGAGTTTCAAGCTTTGGGAATCCCGCAGTTCCTTACAATGATAGCCGCTTAGCTTCGAAAACATAAGTTCTAACCTCTGGGAACCGGCAATTCGTTGCAATGGTAACCTCTGGTTCCCAGGTTGGGAACCGTAAGTTTCAAGGTCTGGGAACCGGCAGTTCATGGTAACCTATGGTTCCCAGGTTGGGAAGCATGAGTTCCAACCTCTGGTAACCGGCAGTTGCTTGCAATGGTAACCCATGGTTCCCAGGTTGGGAACCAGGAGTTCCAACCTGTGGGAACCGGCAGTTCCTTGCAATGGTAACCTGTGGTTCCCACGTTGGCAACCGTGAGTTCCAACCTTTTGAAACCGGCAGTTCCTTGCCATGAACCAAACGCAAACATTCCGGTACCGGCCCATTAAGCAAAACAAAGCGTTCTGTACCGGTCCATTAAGCAAAACCATAAAGTTGTAAAGAAAATGTCTTCATATCATTTTAACATGCACCTTTTTCGTGCAAAAACATTTTTTTGCCGGCCCATCAGCCAAACGCAAACATTCCGCTACCGGTCCATTAAGCAAAACAAAAGGTTCTGTTACCGGCTCAGTAAACAAAACAAAACAACATTAAGAACCATGAGTTCTACCTTTTGGGAATCAACAGTTCCTTCCACTGGTAACGTATGCTTTTTCAGGTTTGGAACCATGAGTTTCAAGCTTTCGCAACCCGCAGTTCCTTACAATGATGGCCGCTTAGCTTCGAAAACATAAGTTCTAACCTCTGGGAACCGGCAATTCGTTGCAATGGTAACCTCTGGTTCCCAGGTTGGGAAGCATGAGTTTCAAGGTGTGGGAGCCGGCAGTTCCTTGCAATGGTAACCTTTGGTTACGAGGTTGGCAACCATGAGTTCCAAATTTCAGGATTTGGTAATTGCTGGAAATGGAAATCTATGGTTGCCACGTTGGGAACCATGAGTTTCAATTTCGTGGAAGCGGCAATTTCTGCAATCGTAGTCCGTTAATGGTTTTGTTCAGTGGCAAGCGTGGAGAACCTAGTCATATGAAAACATCAAAGCGTGATGAAAATAGGAACCTAGTCATATGGAGGCGTGTGCGTTTACCAAGGACTGCCGCGTGTTACAGATAAGCAATTTGATGCCGGCCCATTAAGCAAAACAAAAGGCTGTAAAGAACATGTTTTCATATCATTCTAACATTAAGCCAAACAAAGCGTTCTGTTACCGGCCCATTACGCAAAACCAAGCAATACCGATGCATGAAAGTTGCCAGACTTGCTTGAATCGTTGGGAACCAGGATTGCCTTCAAATGCGATTTCAAGGTTCCAAGGTTGGAAATCGTGGGCGGCAAGGAAAAACACTTTTTTTTTGACGCAACCTCTGTGATGTCAATCCGACACGCAAATCTTTGAGTCCAAACGCATCATCATTTTGATCATTCAACAAGACAAAACAAAACGCGTTTTCAAAGAATATTTGCTCATGTCAATTGAGTAGGCAGATGCTGTGAAATTTGCTTGTCGAGACATCCGCTATATCACTGACCCATTGACGCGGCATGAAAAAACGTTTCTGAAATCTTTTCTATCTGGGGTCTATGCCGGTGTAATTCACATTTTGACCTGAGATTGCTTCGCACAACAGCAGCCTGCATTTTTTCGACATCCCAGCTTCCAAAAGTGCTCCGGACCTGGAGCATATTGTGCATTTGGACTTCGAAATGCGCTTCGTGCCACAACTCCGTGCACTTGATCAACATCTCAGCTTCCAAAAGTGCTTCGGACCTGAATCACTGAAGCCTTTTGTACATTCTGACTTCGAAATGTGCTTCGCAAGCACCAACATCCCAACCTACTTTTGTACCTTTCTCAACATCCCGACCTCCAAGGCGTTTTGTGCATTTTGGCTTTGAAATGTGCTTTGCGCCGCAATGCCGTGCGCTTTCTCAACATCTCAACTCCCGAAAGTGCTCCGAACCCACTGTGTTTTTTCCGTTTTCTTCTCCACGGTTCAACATCCCAAAGTGCTCAGAGCATGCGGTGCTTTTGGCATTTTGACTTGGAATTTATCTTCGCGCCACAACGGCGTGCAAATTTTGATCTCATCTCCCCAGATGGCTCCGCACCCGCCGCTTTAGCGAGTGTACTTTTCGACCATTCGGGCAAAACAGAGTGTTTCGGGACTTTTTTTTTCACGCACCTGCATCTCCCTTCTTCTGGCTTTTTCTCTTCTTTCTTCTTCCTTTCTCTTCTCTGACTCTTCCCACCTCTACCCTACCATCTGCCCATGTTGTCGGGAGTTTGACTTCCAAACTTCCTTCGATTAGTACATGTCCATGCATCACTCCGGCAGGCCATGTCACGCTTCTGCAGCAGCGCGCGCTGCCGAGTTAGTGATGTAGCGTCCACTACGAAAAGCTGCCCAGCGGGAGGTGCATCCTGGGAGAACCGTTGCAGCACCAATGGAAACCTGGAAACCAGGTAAGGATCTGTGATCAAGTGCGAAGTGTGAAGCAAGGAGTGATCAGGATAGATTTTGATTGTGGTTGCTGGTAGGCAGCGCCAGGGTCATATTGGGGCTACATTGGCTGCATTCGTTGCCTGCGCTTCCATGTGTGTGTGTTTCGCACATATGCTACCGCAACAATGCTAGCGGCCCCTTGCACAGAAAAGGCTCTGTCTCAACGATGCTTCACGTTATCAGTTGGCTTGATTTGCCAGTTCACCCTTGGAGCCTGTTTCCTGCTGACCTTCCTTTCCTTGCCCGATGTCTTCAACTTAACTTGCTTCCCAGTAGGTGCTGTTTACTCTCACGCCTTGACCCGACGCATGTGTGAAATGCAGCTTGTCCTGCAGCTGCTCCCGAAAGCGCTGGACCTTCACAGAAGCTGAAGTCTTCACCGCTTCAAGTGGCACGGATCACGCAACAGGTGCACAAGTCTAGACACAATGAGAGAAGCCAAAGCTGCCAGCATGGAAAGTGTAGGTGACAGGATTTCAAGAAAAAGGTCTTTGATTTGTTGAAAGCTTGACTCAATGTTTCTCACTTGTGTTCTACCATCCGCCGTCTTATTTGAAGTCACTTGGTCGCAAGACCGGCCTGGTCCCGGGTCTCTTCCACAAACGAGATCAAGCCTTTTAGCTGCCTCCGCAAAGCTTCTGCGCGACAGTGCCTGAAGGAGGTCGCCCGATGTTGCCCGCTGCGCTAGCCAAAAATGCACTTGTCTGCCAAAGTGCGGGTAGTTTCCCCTAAGGTAGCCCAGCGCTAATATGGTATAAGGGCGCGAAGTGTTGGTGGTTGGTGATTGTTGCGTCTCCAACACGATGCCACAGTACACAAAGTATGTAGCCAACGTTGGAAATGGTTTCACATGACGTCACCGAGAATACCGCAGTCATATCCTCTTTCACATCTCCCACTGACTACTGCAGGTCTAAATGGGTCTATGATGGTCTATGGTATGCAAAATTGTCTGAGGCCGCTGACTTGCTAAACCGGCGCAAATGGAGCAGCACTGGTGCTGCCAGCTCTGGGAAGGCCACTGATCGGCTCAGCAGTCCCAAGTGCTCTGTAAACAAAGCCTCGGCACGCAGGCAATCAGCACATGAAGATGCTACAGGTTGTTCAACCATGTGACCATTCCACGGCATTCATGGCCATCGCGCCTATCAGTTTTTCTTTTAATTTAAGCGGCTCAATACTCTTGCAAGCCGCAGCCTGAATGAGGCAAAGGTTTTGCACGAGCAAATTTCCAGTGATGCAGCATCATGTCAAATTTCCGTGCCGACTTCAGAACGAAATAGGTCCGCCACAGGAAGTTCCACCACATCACATAAGTCACCCAAAACAGACCAGCGGGACAAAATATGGACAAGATGTGTAATTAGATGTAAAATGATGTAAAGGATTGTAAAGGCAAAACCACGACGGATCGATTTCAGTTCTAGATGTTCTAGCCGAGCCAAGTTACTTCCTACAAGCATCACTATGCACAGTTCGGTAAGGCCTCCACAATTCCAAGCAACACGGGAAAATTAACAGATCGAACATCTCAAAGGCGACGAGTATATACTTTTTTTGTAGCTGCCGGTTGCCGGTTGCCGGTGCCGGTGGCCGGGTGCCGGTGCCGGATGCCGGATGCCGGGTGCCGGGTGCCGGTGCCGGATGCCGGATGCCGGGTGCCGCGGTTGCCGCGGTTGCCGGGTGCCGTGCCAGATGCTGGGTGCCGGATGCCGGTGGCGGTGGCCGGTGCCGGTGGCCACCGGTGCCCGTGGGTGGCCGGTGCCGATTGGTGCCGGTTGCCGGTGCCAGTTGCTGGTGCCGGTTGCCGTTGCCGGTTGCCGGTTTATATTCCTCCATCAAGCTCACTCACAGGAAAGCAACCGCCAAGATACAAAACACACGTGAAATCAAGGCCAAACCATCTGGCTAGAAACATTAAAGCAACCTTAGATTAAATAAAGACCAAAAAAGAAACAGGAGAAAAAACTACAGCAATGTATCCCTCAACACGCATCACAGATCCGAAAAAAGACAAACGCCCATTGATAGGTATGGCCCCCTTGGCAGGTATAATCTTCAATGAACTGGAGGTGTCAGGTTTCACTATTGTAAGTTTTTGCTTGGTTTGATATTGCAAAAAGCGCAAGAGGCAAAGCAAGATACGAGGCAAGGAAACCCAACAGATCCAGATTTAGAATCAGTTTGCTAGAATTAACGGTGTCCTCTTGAGGCAATCGGATGTTATTCGTTACTACATTGGGTTGCAAGAAGGGATTCGGCTGGCGTGTGTTTCTGTGTGACGAGCATAAGTTTGATCTACCCCCGGGGCAGCAACACTAAGCACAAGCCAGGGTCACAAAATGAGCACCAGCCAAATGCAGAAAATAAGGGTCTAATCTGGTGATATGATACGGATAAATTCTCATCGAAGGAAGTTTGGAAGTCAAACTTCCGACAATATGGAGAGATGAAAAAGCAGTCAGCAGGGAGAAGAGTCAGAAGAGAAAAGATCAGAAGAAAGAAGATGCAGGTGCGCGAAAAGGTAGGAAAGTCGCGAAACACTGTGTTTTTTCGTGGTTTTGTGGCTCCGGAGGATTGAAAGGTAGGCTCGCTAAAGCGGCGGGCGCGGAGACATCTGGGGAGATGAGAGATGAAAAGTTGCACGCCGTTGTGGCGCAAAGCACATGTCCAAGTCAAAATGTACAAAACACACCAGCTCCGGACCACTTTTGGAAGTTGAGATGTCGAAAAAGCGCACGCCGTTGTGGCGCGAAGCACATTTCCAAGTCAAAATGTACAAAACACACCAGCTCCGGACCACTGTTGGAAGTTGAGATGTCGAAAAAGTGCACGCCGTTGTGGCGCGAAGCACATTTCGCAGTCAAAATGTACAAAGCACACCAGCTCCGGACCACTTTTGGAAGTTGAGATGTCGAAAAAGTGGACGCCCCTTTGGCGCGAAGCACATTTCCAAGTCAAAATGTACAAAACACACCAGCTCCGGACCACTTTTGGAAGTTGACATATTGAAAAAGTGCACGCCGTTGTGGCGCGAAGCACATTTCGAAGTCAAAATGTACAAAGCACACCAGCGCCGGACCACTTTTGGAAGTTGAGATGTCGAAAAAGTGCACGCCGTTGTGGCGCGAAGCACATTTCGAAGTCAAAATGTACAAAGCACTACATGTTCGCGCCACTTTTGGAGGTTCAGATGTCGAAAAAGTGCACGCCGTTGTGGCGCGAAGCACATTTCGAAGTCAAAATGTTAAAAACACCAGGGGTTCGGACCACTTTTGGAGGTTCAGATGTCGCTTCGCTTCGCTACACTACATTACACTACACTACACTCCACTACACTACGCTCCACTACACTACACTACATTACACAGCACTACAATTACAACTACACAACTACACTCCACTACACTAAATTACACCACACTACACTACATTACACTACACTACACTCCACTACACTACATTACACTGCGCTACCTTCCACTACACTTCACTACATTACACTACACTCCACTACACTACAACTACAACTACAACTGCACAACTACACTCCACTACAATACACTCCAAGAAACACTCCACTACACTATATTACACTACACTACACTACACTACATTACACTACACTCCACTGCACTACACTACATTCCACTACACTACCTTCCACTACACTTCACTACATTACACTACACTACACTCCACTACGCTACAACTACAACTACAACTACGACTACACAACTACAGTCCACTGCACTCCACTACACGAAATTACACTACACTACATTACACTACACTACGCTACATTCCACTACACTCCACTACACTACATTACACTACACTACATTACACTGAATGACACTGCACCACAGATAGACAGGTAGACAGATAGACAGACAGGAAGACAGCTAGACAGATAGACAGATGAAAGAGAGAGAGAGAGAGATAGATAGATAGATAGATAGATAGATAGGTAGATAGGTACATAGGTAGATAGGCAGATAGGTAATGAGATGAAAGAGAGAAAGAGAGAGATAGATAGATCGATAGATAGATAGATACATAGAAGATAGGCTGGTAGGTAAGTAGATAGTCAGAGAAAGAGAGAGAAAGAGACGAGACCTCAAGCACCTTTCGGTCCATCAGTGGATTCGCTCTGCCATCCCTGATTCACAACAGCCAATCTCTCCTATAGGTTTCCTATTTTTGAAACTTCCGCCACCGCCTTGTGCGGTACTACTGGTACCAAATCAAAAAACGGATCAGGTAGACACCATTAATATTTAAATCATCAAATGTCTGAAAAAATGTTTCATGTGAATCGGAAGGAATCAAGCCGCAAAGGTTTCTGTTTCTCTCTTCTCGGCTCTGGCTGCTACAGATTTGCTAGGGACTGGCCAACTTATCACCCACATTCCGTTGGAAACCTTAGCAAGTCTTAGCCACTACGACAACCTTAGCAACGACAACTAGCAACAATAACAACAACCATCCCACCACCAGCGACAGCACCACCACGACCACCACCACCAGCAGCGGCAGCAGCAGCAGCACCACCACCACTACCACCACGACAACAACCACACCAAACCCACAGGGCTGGGAAGTTAATTGGGGCTGGGCTCGGCTGGGCTCGGCTGGGGTGCTGGGGAATGGGGCTTTGTGTAGCAGGCGCGATACTTCCGCAGCCGTTCGCAACCGTTCGCAGACCGTCCGCGCAAGGCCCGTATAGCAGTGCCTATAGCGCATTCTGCAAAACGGATCACTTCTGGAGGTTTCAATCGTTGCGTGCCCTCGTTTCGCGTGGCAAGCGTGGCACGTTGTGACATCCCAACATCATTCATAACGTGTCAAAAGTCGTCTTGTGTGTGGCAGGCGCAATACTTGTGCGACAGTTTGACATGATGAGTTGCATTTTTCGTGACAGGCACAACACTTTGGCGACCTCCATCGTCATTTCGCGTGGCAGGCGCAGCACTTTAGACGTGTCATGTTGGCCTGTGTTGGATGGTGCCTCTGCCTTGTATAGTGTGTCCGCCTTCCCAAGACTTGTCTGCTGGTGGCCGGTGCCGTTGGCGGGCGCCGGATGCCGGTGCTGGTGGCCGGTGCCGGGTGCCGGAAGACAAAAAATGTATATCATGTCAAAGGCACGAGAGTCACGAGAGGAATGAAGCAACATGATGGCGAAAAGCGAGAAAGTAAACCCGTGCTCCGTAGGCACGTATCAAAGCGGTGCAGTGTGCAGAAAACACGCCTGGCAACATGCAAAGAGTAGCGAAGTACTTGAACCAATGAGTAGAGTACAAGGGAAGCAGACATCCATGGCTGACCAACTGGAACTTAAGAAGATAGCAAATGTGAGGGGCGAAAGTGGAAAAAGTATTCTAGGTAAAGTGAATGCGGTACTGGAAACTAAGAGATACTAAGAGACTGGGAAGCTCTCATGAATTGCCACTAAATTGGGGTTTCAAAGGATTACCCGAGCTAAAAGAAAGGCTGACGCTCAGCGCAAAATGCCTCTACGTGCATCTTTGTTTCTGCCTACCACTGCATGTCCTTCACTAAACATATTAAACGACCCGGGGTGCTCAGCAACGAAACTGATAGGGAAAAGCATGTTTGGCACCAATCGCGGGTACTTGGCGCGTTCAGGGGCGCGGGTTTCAGACCACGTTGTGAGGACAACAAATTCGGACACCCACGTCCAAGGCTCCCGGCACAAATGCAATTGCCCAGTTTCGTCAAAGATTCTTCTTTCAAAGTGGGAAGTGCCAGCAAAATCTTGGCCGGGCGCAACATCGGGCAACAAGATCTTGGTCGGGCGCAACATCGGGCAGCAAGCAAACATTGCTCAATCAGTCAAACCACCCAAGGAAAAGAATCCTGTCTATGTGGAAGGAAACGGTTTGAAACTCCTTGGCCCTTACGCCCTATTGTTGCTCAGCAGTCGGGCACACGACGGCTCCTCAAAATGCCACAAGGCAGGATTTTTGCTGATCTTCCCATGGAAAACTAGACGACAGTGTGGCCCGAAGAAAAGCAGGAGGGATTAGATGCAAAGAGGATGGAGGAGAAGATATGAAGATGAATGATAATTGATGATGAATAATGAATGATGAATGAGGTTGTGGATGCATAATGAAATGCACGATTATTAAGTTATTAAACCGTATGTAAATAAATAAAATAAATAATATATATATATATATCATATATCACTCTCTCTCTCTCTGTGTCCACATGGCCTCTATTCAGATGACTGCAATGACGCGAGGGAATTACACAAAAGCTTTTGCACAGGGAAGGCTTTTCGCAGAAGAGCTTTTACATAGAGAAGTTTTTACACAGAGACATCTTCACACAGAGGAGCTTGCACACACAAACGCCTTTACACACAGAAGCTTTTACACAGAGAAGTCTTTCCACAAAGAAACTTTTACACACAGAAGCTTTTACACAGAGAAGCTTTTGCACAGGGAAGCCTTTACACAGAGGAGCTTTTACACACAGAGGCGTTTACACACAGAAGCTTTTACCCACAGAAGCTTTTACACAAAGAAGCTTTTACACAGAGGAGCTTTCCACGTAGAAGCTTTTACACGGGAAGTCTTTACACAGAGAATCTTTTATACACAGACATCCTCACACAGAGGAGCTTGTACACAGAGGAGCTTTCTTCCACACAGAAGTTTTACACACAGACGCCTTTACACACAGACGCTTTTACACAGAGGAGCTTTTACACAAAGAAGCTTTTTCTCCAGAGAAATCTGTACACAGAGGAGCTTTTACACACAGAGGCGTTTACATATAGAAGCTTTTACCCACAGAAGCTTTTACGCACAGAAGCTTTTACACAGAAGCTATTACACACAGAAGCTTTTACACAGAGAAGTTTTTTTACACAGAGAAGCTTTTACACAGAGAAGTCTTTAAACCTAGGAGCTTTTACACGCAGAAGCTTTTACACACAGACGTGTTTATACACAGAAGGGGTTACACACAAAAGCTTTTACATTTTACACAGAGAATCCTTGCCGCAGAGGACCTTGGTGACGTTGCAAGATTGCAATTTACCTCAGTTTTTGTTGATCGGCCTTCACTTCGTGCGAAAGGATTACACCTGAGATTAAAAAATTGCAATTTTCCACAGTTTTTGACGTTCGGCCTTCATTTCGCGCAAGAGGGTTGCATCTGAAGAAGATTCATAATTGCAAGTTACATGAGTTTTTGATGTTTGGCTTTCATTTCGTGTGAAAGGGTTGCGTCTGATCTTCCAAAATTACATTTTTTCACCAGTTTTTCGACATTTGCGTTCGGCGTTGTAAACTTGCAGTTTTGCACAAGTTTTTGACACTCGGCCTTAATTTCGTTCGAAAAGGCGATGCCGTCCGCAAAAAAAACCGTATCACCGTAGTTCGCGCGTCCGAAACGCACGAGCTCCGCAGAGGGTCGCGTTTCGCAAACCGGTTTTTGATTGCCCCTGTCGCTTGAAGCGAAAATTCAGAAGAAGTTGAGAAGTAGGAGTTTTGTAGGGGTTTCAGATACCAGTAGATCACCTAGAAGTTAACTCCTGGGTAACAACTTCTGTATTACAACAACTCCTGTAGAAGAACTCCTGTGTAAGAACTCCTGTCGCAGAACTCCTGTGTAAGACCTCCTGTGTAACAACTGCTGTGTAAGAACTCCTGTATAAGAACTCCCGTAGAGGAACTCCTGTGTAAAAAGTCCTGTGAATAAAACTCCCGTGTAAAAACTCCTGTGTAAAAGTGTGTAAAAAAAGTGCGTAGATGATGTGTGTGATGTGGATGAAGTTCATTGACGTTGATGTAGATGATGAATGTGATGTACAGGAAGTTGATGATGTAGATGATGAATGTGATGTACAGGAGGTTGATGATGTAGATGATGAATATGACGTCGATGATGTTGAGTGAAGTTGATGTAGATGATGTTGGTGGTGTAAAGGATGTAGGAGATGTTGTGTGGATGAAGTGAAAAGTTGAATTTGGCAGCAGTTCTTTGGGAAAAACCCTTCGCAAGAGCTTTCGGGAACAACATGATCCCAGGTCCAGCTGCACGTCGGCCCCGGCTGCTACAGTATACTACAACTACAGCGGTGTGTCTCCATGCCTCAATGTGCACTTCTTCTGTATCCTCTTGCGAGCCTGTCGCGGCATTTTCGCACAACTTGCCATTATACGGGGAAGTGTGATGCAAAAGAGAGCAAACAAATGGAAGTGCGACGCAGCTCAACAAAAACGTCCCCAAATATTCGATCGCCGCACTGATGGTCACCGCAATGCTTGGGGTCTATTTCAGTTTGCGCGAACAAAACGAAGAATGTTTTCTATCTCAACTTGTTTCCCCGGCCTTTGGGAGCTTTGTCGATAGCTTTCAGATTCATGTCCAGCAGCCGCAGCAAAAGGGCTGAGAGGGGCACGAGCTTCTGAGTCTTCTCTGCCAACTCATTCAATGCACGTAGCCCATGCAGGCAAAAAGGCGCAAAGTTCAGCGAGCTCTGACTCTTCACAGCTCCCAAAATGACCATATACAGTGGATATGCCAAGTCTTTCAGAGCCTTCACCTCACTCACCAACCGTGTCCACAAAAACATTGCGCGAACATATGGCCAGCTCACCAGGGCCTCTGCGATTTTTGACTTGGCCCTTGCCTTTCCCTTTGCCACCTTTGCGACCTTGTTAACCTTGCTTGCCTTGTTTCCTTTGGTTGCTGCCTTGGATTTTGCTTTCGCTTTTCCTGTTGCTCCTTTGGCTGCCGCAGCCGGCTTCAGAGAGGCGTTCCTCAAGACCAGCGCTAGCTGCCGAATACAAACGTAGCCAGCACGATATGCGGCAGCATCATCCAGTCGGAAAAGCTCCAAAATGCAATTTTCCTGGCTCGTTGGCTCATGATTTTCGCCCGACCTGGACTCATGCCTGCTCCACAAAGACATCAAGTTCTCAAGTCACAGCTATGAATGGATCTGGGAAACAACGGTCTCGGTCCTTCTATTGTTCTGTCAATTTTTCAGCATGGATGACAGATTTCAGCATGAAGTATGCTGCGGGTACAGAAAAGTGTTTCCCTGTTTTACAAACGTGGCAGACAATGTCTGTCATAGACCTGTGAAACTTAGCCGTTATATGCAGCGAACTTGACCACCATACAGTACATGTTTGTGTTGTGTGAATACTGTTTCGCCCTTCCCTTCCCTTCGCTCCATAAAGCGGACGCTGTTGAGTGAGCGCCAAGTGTAGGAAGAGGTAGCTCCCGTAAATGCCCGCAGCACTGCGCGCAAAAGGTCCTTTGCAGTAGAACGCAGCCAACAACAAGACCACGTCACTGCAGAAAGTATAAGGCATCACAGTGACAAACAATGAATATCTCAGGAAAGATCACAGAAGGATAACTTATGAACCATGTTCTGGTTGCTCAATACTGAGAGGAGACATGAATCTCAAGGCCCCTCAGAATTCGGACAAAGCCAGAAACTTACGCAACATGGCAAACCGCAGCTGGCCGCGGCTGACCTGCCTCCAGAGAGAGACCGTCCTTCAAGAGTGTCATGGCTGCCGCATTGCGAAGGAAGAGGAAACTCAGCAAACGAGGAGAAGTCGAAGAAGCTGATGCCTTGTCTACTTGCCCATGAGCATCACGCACCACACGACAATTTCAATAGATTCAGGCCCCGAGGCAGAAAGATGGCACGAAATGGTACAAAGTAGCCAACCATGTCCGTGAAGCCGTAAATTACAAGCTTCAAAACTCCGACGCCAATGCCAAAAAATGAAAATGCACATCATTGAACATGGAAAGGAGCACCAACACTATGATTACCTTCATGTTGGGGCAAAACCTGTGCAGTATTTGTTGTTATTTCAAAGTTGTACACGCACACACACACACATGTACACTTTTTGTGGCACGGTTGCGTTTGCTGCCTTGGGCTGCGTCCAAATCTGCAGGCAGGTCTTCAAATACTTTCTCTGCAAATTTTTGAAAGGCCACAGCCATGCCAGCGCGCGGGCACTGCTGCACGTCCTTCCGGAAAAGCCATCCGTACAATTCCGTCAAGTCTGATACTTAGACACTTATCATCTGCTCAGAACTGGCTTGTCTTGCACTCAAACACACACACACACACTGTGCGTTCCTGGACTCTTGCCGTCTTGTGGCAGGCTTTGCATGTCCATGTGTAAACATACATACATACATACATAACATTACATTACAAAATAGTAAATTACATTACATTAAACTAAATTCCATACACAACATACATAACATACAAAACGCACATAACACACATACATGCATACATGCATACATATACATATACATATACGTATACGTATACATTTGCATACATACAAACATGCGATACATGAGATACATGGCATGCATCACATACTTTACATACACTACACACATTACATAACATTACATAACATTACATACAATACATACAATACATACATTACATACATTACATACAAAACGTACAGTACATACATTACATACGCAACATGCATTACATACATTACATACAAACCACACGTGGCATACATTTACATACAACACAAAACATGACATAACATAACATACATGCATTGCATTGCATTGCGTTAAATTACATTGCATTACATTACATTATATACATTACATTCATACATTAATACATTAATACATACATACTTGCATACTTGCATGCATGCATGCATACATACATACGTACATACGTACATGCGTACATGCATGCATGCGTACATGCGTGCATGCATACATGCATACATGCATACATGCATACATGCATACATGCAAACATGCAAACATGCATACATGCATACATGCATACATGCATGCATGCATACATGCATACATGCATACATGCATACATGCATACATACATACATACATGCATGCATGCATGCATACATACATACATACAGAGAAAGAGTCAGAAGATCCAGGTGCGCGAAAAGGTAGCAAAGTCGCGAAACGCTGTGTTTATCCAATGACTTGAGTCTCCGGAGGGTCGAAAAGTAGGCTCGCTAAAGCGGCGGGTGCGGAGCCAGCTGGCTAGATGAGAGATGAAAAATTGCACGCCGTTGTGGCGCGAAGCACATGTCCAAGTCAAAATGTGCAAAGCACACCATGCTCGGACCACTTTTGGAAATTGAGATGTCGAAAAAGTGCGCGCCGTTGTGGCGCGAAGCGCATTTGCAAGTGAAAAAGCTAAAATCACCTCACGTTCGGAGCACTTTTGGAAGTTGAGATGTCGAAAAAGTGCACGTCTCGCACGAAAGCTTCCTTTTTATATCTTCCACTGTCAGATTTTGAGGGAAGGACTTGCACGAAAGCTTCGTTTTCACATCTTCCACTTTCACTTTTTGAGGGATGTCTCGCACGATAGCTTCGTTTTCACATCTTCAACTTTCACTTTTCGAGGGATGTCTCGCACCAAAGCTTCGTTATTTTGAGGGAAAGGACTCGCACGAAAGGTTCGTTTTTACATCTTCCACTGCCAGTTTTTGACGGAAAGGGCTTGCACGAAATGGGTTTTTGAAAGTTAGCGGATGCACGACATGTTGTGTTTTGCAGCACAAAACTTGTCCCGCAAGATGAATGAGAAAGCTTTTCCAGCGGGCGGTTGCGAGACGGTCTGGGCTGTACCGGGACCCTTCTCGGATCGGCCCCGCAGTGGAACTGCCAGTTCAGGTGTCATTTTCACATCTTGACGTTTCAAAATTTGAAGGAGGTCTCGCACGAAAGCTTCGTTTTCACATCTGCCACTTTCACTTTTCGAGGGATGTCTCGCACGAAAGCTTCGTTTTCACATCTTCAACTGTCAGACTTTGAGGGATGTATTGCACGAAAGCTTCGTTTTCACATCTTCCAAGTTCATTTTTTGAGGGAAAGGGCTCGCACGAAAGCTTCGTTTTCATATCTTCCACTTTCACTTTTGGAGAGATGTCTCGCACGATAGCTTCGTTTTCACATCTTCCACTTTCACTTTTCGAGGGATGTCTTGCACGAAAGCTTCGTTTGCACATCTTCAGATTTCAGATTTTGAGGGAAAGGACTCGTACGAAAGCTTCGTTTTCATATCTTCCACTTTCACTTTTGGAGGGAAGTCTTGCGCGAAAGCTTCGTTTTCACATCTTCCACTTTCACTTTTTGAGGGATGTCTCGCACGCAAGCTTCGTTTTCACATCTTCAACTTTCACTTTTTGATGGAAGTCTCGCACAAAAGCTTTGTTGTCCTGCTTGGCCTTGCGGCTGCGTGCGTAATCTGATTGCCTTTTGCAGCTGGACCTCGTAAATCGCATTGGATTGGCTGCTTCAAGGTTGCGATAGTGACTTGTCAGCAGCTTTTCTTAGTTTTGGCGCAGGTGTTTTTCCTTTAGATTTTTTTAAAGTGCAGGATCATTTTTTTTGTTCTGCTTTGGCGCCGAGATCTGGTTTTGGAGCTACAATTTTGATGACGCTGCGCGTAGTTCTATTGCGCTTTGCAACCCAGCCTCTGCAGATGGCAGTGTGCTGGCTGCGTCAAGGTTGTTTGGCGCTGCGGCTGCTTGCGTAATACTATTACTATTGTCTTTTGCAGCTGGACCTCGTAAATCGTATTGGAGTGGCTCCATCAAGGTTGCGAATAGCAATTGGTCAGCAGATTTTCTCAATTTTGGCGCTGGCGATTTTCCTTTTTAAAAGTGCTTCAAAATCGTTTTTTGCTTTGGCGCTGAGCTCTGGTCTTGGAGCTGCCCTTTGCTTTGGCATTCCTTTGCTTTGGCACCCCTTTGCTTTGACATCCCTGTGCTTCGACGATCGTTTGCTTTGACATTCCTTTGCTTTGCTACGCCTTTGTTTTGAGATTTCTTTGCTGTAAGATCTCTTTGCTTTGACATCCCCTTGCATTGACATTCGTTTGCTTTGCCACCCCTTTGTTTTGAGATTTCTTTGCTGTGAGATCTCTTTGCTTTGACACCCCTTTGCTTTGACACCCCTTTGCTTTGACATCACTTTGCTTTGGCATCTCTTTGCTTTGACATCCCTGTGCTTCGACGTTCGTTTGCTTTGACATTCCTTTGCTTTGACATCCTTTTGCTGTGAGATCTCTTTGCTGTGAGATCTATTTGCTTTCCCATCCGTTTGCTTTGACATTCCTTTGCTTTGATATCCCGTTGCTTTGAACATCCCTTTGCTTTGGCATCCCTTTGCTTTGACATCCCTTTGCTTTGAACATCCCTTTGGCATTCCTTTGCTTTGACATCCCTGTGCTTTGACATTCCTTTGCTTTAACATTCCTTTGCTTTGACAGCCCTTCGCTTTGACATCCCTTTGCTTTGGCATCCCTTTGCATTGACATTCGTTTGCTTTGCCACCCCTTTGTTTTGAGATTTCTTTGCTGTGAGATCTCTTTGCTGTGAGATCTCTTTGCTTTGACATCCCTTTGCTTTGACATTCCTTTGCTTTGACATCCCGTTGCTTTGACATCCCTTTGCTTTGAACATCCCTTTGCTTTGGCATCCCTTTGCTTTCACATCCCTTTGCTTTGAACATCCCTTTGGCATTCCTTTGCTTTGACATCCCTGTGCTTTGACATTCCTTTGCTTTGACAGCCCTTCGCTTTGACATTCCTTTGCTTTGACATCCCTGCGCTTTGACATTCGTTTGCTTTGACATTCCTTCGCTTTGACATTCCTTTGCTTTGACATTCCTTTGCTTTGCCATGCCTTTGTTTTGAGATTCTTTGCCGTGAGATCTCTTTGCTGTGAGATCTCCTTGCTTTGACATCCCTTTGCTTTGACATTCCTTTGCTTTGACATCCCGTTGCTTTGACATCCCTTTGCTTTGACATCCCTGTAATTTGACAGTCGCTTGCTTTGACATTGTTTTGCTTTGACATTCCTTTGCTTTCACATTCCTTTGCTTTGAAATCCCTTTTTTATGACTTTTAAAAATCCGTTACGCGGAAGTATAGACTTCTAATCTTCCTTCGGCAATATCTATATCTATATATCTATCTATCTATCTATATATATATATATTTATAGCGACACACTGAAACTTAGGATGCGGTTTTGGAAACGGCGAGCTGCAAAAAAGTCCCTGGCAAATGCCAAAAAGTGGCGTCAGGTACTTTTTTTGCCCCGTTTTGTCAGTCGGGGCATCTTAGTAATGGAGATCTTGGAATGTGTGCCCACTGAATTGTTTATCATATAATTGTCCTTCTATCATGGTCTTGAGTGGGAAATATCAGGTCGCCGCGTTTCTTGAATATAAACTAAGAATGCCGGCATCTATCTTGTGATTTTCATCAACAACGGATGTTATTTTTCAAGTTTTACCTGCATTTTGGAAACATTTTGCATTCTTTTGAGAGTGTTGGTTCTTAGTCAGGTTTCATCGATCTATTGAAATATGACCACAGCTAAGTTTGATCAGAAGATTTTACTTCCATCATGGTTTTGGCATGTTTTGATTGGGCATTTTCAGGGGGTGCGTTCTAGTAATGTAGACTTAGAATGCCGGCATTGATTTTGTGATCTTGGTGAATAAATGGATGCCATTTTTGGGTTTCTTACCCAGTATTTCCGACATTTTACAAACATTTTTTGGTCCATCGCAATTTGTTCCAATGTTTTTTTTGGCTTCTGAGTTTGGTTGGTCAGGCCGCTCTTCCTTACTGTGTGTGCTGTCGAAAAACATTCTACTTTTGTCTCCGGCCCACCGCTTTGCTTGGGAAAACTCAGGACTCAAAACAACAACATTCATGATGTTCAGGTCTACTTCCAATAAAAGAAAACAGCCTTCTGTGTTTTTCCCGAACTTGATTGTGTGAACACCTGGGGCTCGGATTCCTGCTTGTATTGGCTAGGCATGGCTAGGTTTGTCCTTATTTTTCCAAGCTTGCGAGGTAACTGGCATTTTGAGTTTTGATGGCAAAGGTTTGTTCAGTACAGGAAGCGTTCTGAACTGAAGGAAGCATTCAAAGTTTAGCACTGGCCCGTCCCCTTTGCAAGGAAAACCTTGAGAAACGA